GTGAGAATCGAGGGTGCCCTTGGGCCGAATTGGCACGGAGAGAGGGCCTTAAGGAGATCACGGCCCTCCTGACGGACCCCGCCGTGACAGGGTCCTTTCTGCTAGTGTGTGTGTGTGTGTGTACGTACGTACATACATACATACATACATACATACTAACTATATAATTTTTAAAGAGCACAGTACAACATATTTAACATGGAGCGACATTTCAAATGACATCCAAATGAATGATCTTTATTGTAGAACATTTTTGTAAACAATGTTTGTGGTGTTTCCTGTTGGCGCCAGTATATACAACCCTCTTTGACTACTAACTTTGGAGCAAGCCACATATAACTGTCCATGAGAAAAGCATGGTTCCCTTAAATAATCACTGTAAGCCCCAAAAATGGTCAAATGAAAAATAACCTATGTATAATTTTCTTCTGATGGTATTCAGTGATCTTGGAAGATTGAGGGTAGATAGGACCAGTCATTCTTGAGTTATAAGCGAATATACATACAGACAGACACATACTTCATTATATATATATATTGCTTTCAACATGAAATAAGCAAGTATTGTCTTTTCACTAATTTAGTGTGTACCTAGTGTCAAATGAAGAGGTTTTGGAACAAAGTCGTAATGTAATCAAAAGTCACCACAGCCAGATTGTATGTATTCAGAAGTTGTAAGGAATAAGCACCAAGCAGCTGAGCTGCTAAATAGGCAGTTTCTCATTTAGGTTGGCCATGGATCCTAGAGGACTGGAAAACAACAAATACTGTACATCCATTTAAAAAAATGCTTTAGGAGTGTCTCAAGTAATTGTACCCCAGTTAAACTTATAGCTGTACCTAGCAAATTCATTGAAACGATCATTACAAATGACCGTTACAGGAAGACAATGTTTTGGGTCTAACCAGGATGAGTTTTGCAAGAGAAAATAATAATCTTAGAATGTTTTGAATGTTTCAGTAAAAAAGTAACTAAAGGAGAAGCAGATGATGTAATTTATTTAAACTTCTCAAAAGCCTTCAACAGGATTGCCCATAAGACTACTAAAACAGCTCAGGTTTCATGGGGTTAGAGACCAAGTGTTGTCATGATCAAAAACTGGACAGGAGGCAGAAAAGACAGAGCAGGAGTATATGGGCATTTTTCATCATGGAAGTAACCCTGGGATGCCTCAAGATTCCACTCTAGGTCCCATGCTATATAATATATCAATGATCTGGGAAAGGGGTGATTAGTAAAGTGGAAATGTCTGTGGGTAAAACAGAGTATTTAGAAGAATATGAATCAGAAAGGACTGTAAGGAACTACAGAAGAGACCAGCTCGAGGTAGGTTAATGGACAATATGATGGCAAATGAAACTCAGTATGGACAAATGCCAAGCAGCGTACATCAGATAGAAAATGTAAACTAGTCATGAATGTTTCAGGGTTCTAATTAACCATATTAGCTTAAGAACGGGAATTGGTCACTCTACAAGGCAGCTCACTGAAGACCGTCTGTTTCACCATAGTCAAAAAAGCAAGCAGGAGGTTAAACTGCGTAAGGAATGGGTTGGTGAATAATGCTGAGATATTGTAGTGCCTTGCACATAAGCCAACTGATGCACTATCAGCCACAATGCCATGTGAAGTGTTGGTCAACCCTTTACAAAACAAGGATACTAGTGAAGTAGATGAGGTTCAGAGAAGAGCAACTAAAGTGTGGGAACATAAAAAAGTACATAAAAGAATGAATGATACAGGAAGCTGGATTGAGAATTACTGTTCTTACTGCCCCCGCCCACTGATTGAAGGGCAATCTGAAAAATTCAAAGGTAAGAAAGTCAAAATCAATAGAAGCAAAGGTTTTTTTCACATGTCACGATTAAACTGAACATGTATATGGATATCACAAATATCCAGAATTCTCGTAATCAATTATGACAAACTTTATGGCAGAGATACACTTTCTCCTTCCGGGCTTAAGATTGACCTTTACTCTTAGACATTAGGATGAGACGTAATGAAGGGGGGGAAATATCCCAGATCTGCCTTTTGTCCAGTTAAGAAACAGCATTTCCCATTTTTAATATTTTCTAAATTGGAAATCTTTTTCTCCTGAATTGGGTTAGAAAGCCCAAACCTTAAGTGATCAGTTTAGTTGCTTGTAATTCAGTGATGAACAATAGTGTAACTATGAAAAAAAAAAAATTTTCAATCTTAGTCAGCTACTGACAGGTATTCCTTGGTTCTGTGGCTGATTGTCTTGATGTGAGAAGCCTCGGGGCTTCCAGGGTTTAGAGCTCTATTATCTGAATGTCCCAAAAGTCAGGAACCTGTATGTTTCCAGGATCCTAGGACAGCTCTCTCCCCAAGCTGTCAAAATTTCTTGGAAGCTGTCTCCCCAGGTTGTAGGAGTCACATAGTCTAAGGAGACAATTGGACCAAGAAGTGGAACTCATGAAGTCCTCAGTTTTGAAGCAGCTTTTATGGTGGGGCAGATCTGGAAGCCACAGGACACTGGAATAACTGAGTGCTTTAACTCTGAAGTAGATTGCATAGTAGGCGTGTGCAAAATGGCTAGTATTCACTTCAGATTCAGCCGATTCAGGGGATAGTGATTCAATTCGGAGAGTGGGCAGAGGTTGGGGGGCACTCAGGGGGAACTAGGGGAGCAGGCAGGGAATGAGGCCTGGCAGGGATCCTCCCTATGGTCCCCTCCCTCCTCCTCCAGCCCCTGCTTCCCCACCTCCTACTTACCAGCATGGAGTGCAGGTCCAGCTCCCTGCTGCAGCAAGCAGGGACTGCCCAAATCACCAAAGCTCTCCGAATCTTTTCCAAATCAATTCGGAGAGCTTCAAATCAATTCAGACCTTTTTATTGGTCTCCTGATTCGGATTCAGTGATTTGGCTACCGAACTGGGCTGAATCTCCTCTGAATCAAATCAGCACCCAAAGCTTCACACAGCCCTATTGCATAGCATTGTTGCTTCAGCACTAAAGACCTTTGGACCCAGGTTTCCAGCTCCACAGCAAGCCTTAAGAGTTCTGGCATGAGTCAGAACTTCCAGGGTCCCAGCTTCCCAACAAATATCCTGGAAGCTGTGAAAATCCAGAGCACCTGGTGCCATGGGAAGAAGCTTAGGAGTCCTGATCCCATAACTGAGCACGGGAGCTGGAAATCCCAGCCCATACGAACTCCTAAGATTTCCTGGCATGTGGCAAGGAGCCTAAGAGCTCAGGTTCAATCCAGGGTCTATCAAGGCTACCAGACTTTCATGGATGCTGTCTCTCCAGGTTGTAGGAATTGGGTAGCCCAAGGAAACAAATGGCCCAGGCATCTGGAAATGGTACAATAGTGCGGAGGCTCCAGCCTCAGAGTTGTCCCTATGTTAGGACCATGGATCCATGGCCTCTGGATGTCTGGAGGCGCATGACCCTTGGGCAGACCTACAGGTATGCTGGCAAGTAGCCAGGTGCTTGAGTCGGTAGAAAACCAATTAGGTTTCTATTAGAAACATGCCCAGTGTTCTGTCAGAAAAATTGGTTGAATTCAGTGTATTGCCCAAAAACACTTTGCATTTTGCCAAATGGATATTTTCTGTTAGAAGATTTCTAATGAGCTACAGCTCTAACATCTGCCTCTGAAGCATCTAGTGTTGGCCTGCAAAGTGACTAGTATTTGCTTTGGATTCCGATTCGGCCAATTCAGGGGACAGTGATTTGATTAGACGATGTGAATCACTGTCCCAAATCGATTCAACTGAATCTGATTCAGAGGTTCAGCCGCTGCCGAACTGGTCAAATTGCCGAATTGGACAGGCCCCATTCCCTACCCACTCTCCCTGTCCACCCCCAGCTCTTTAAAAAAAGAAAAGCCTCAAATTCACCAGTTCTTGCCAGGCGGTTGGGGGGGGGGGGGGGCAATCCCTGCTGCCTCCCACTGCCCCGTGCTTGGTGGGGGGGGCGCGCCCACGCCCCGTGCTTGGGGGGGGGGCTCTGCCACAAGCCCCCAGAGGTCCCAGGGCTGTGGCAGCAGCTGGTGAGTGGGGGCTTCTTTTATTTTTAGAGCCAGGAGCTGCGGCCAGGCGGGGCAGCCATGGGAGGGACTAGGGAGGCAGGCAGGGGATGGGCCTGGCAGGGCTCCCCCCATGGTCTCCTCCCCCCTCCTCCAGCCTCCCTTTCTTGGCCCCCTACTTACCAGCATGGAGTCCAGGTCCAGCTCCCTGCAGCAGCGAGTGGGGACTGCCCAAATCTCTGAAGCTCTCCAAATCTTTTCCAAATGTGATGTAATCTGTCAGTTCCTATGTTCCTCTATTTTCCGTATATGTAACATGGAGATAAAGACATTGCTCAATCTCATGGAGGTACTGTGAGAATTAATGAAGATTTACAAAGCACTTTGACATTCTCATATGAAAGGTGCATAAAAGTGAAGACTGCTCTTATTTAATGAGACCTTAATGGGGTCAGAGATTAAACAAACAAACAGGTGTAAGAAAGAGTCCACGTAGAAAATATTTCTGTTCAGCAATTATTTACGTGAATTATAATACAGTTAGCTAAGATTTGTCCTATAACTGACACAGGTGTTTACTGCTGTGATGTTTAAAGTTTTAGGAAGCATGGCTATCAAAGTGTGGTTTTATATTTTGCTTGGAAGCTAGGCTTAATAATTATTTTCAATTTCTAGGACAGTGTTCTCCTGGATACTACTCTTCAGATGGCTTTAAGCCGTGCAGGGTATGCCCTCTTGGTACATATCAGCCTGAATCAGGAAGGACCCTCTGTTTTCCCTGTGGTGGTGGGCTAGTGACAAAGTACGAAGGTGGTGTTTCATTTCGGGACTGTGAAACAAAAGGTGAATTTAAAAAATGTCTGCACTTTGTAAAATATGTTGCGTAGAAATTTATCCACAATTTGCCCTTTCACTGAGAAATTGTAATTGCAGAAGGATTTAAAGATCTTCCGAAAAACACAGATCTGTAAATAGTCAAGAAATCTGTAAACTAGAAATGATCTGCTGAGATTGTAGAGTCTTCTTCAGGGGGCATGCTACATGCAGTGCACAGGACCAATCCAAAACCCACAGGCAGCACTACAGGACAGATGTTAGGGCTCCACTGACCAGATCTAGTCCACAGGCTGTATCTTTGACACTCTGAACTAAGGAATTACAAGAACAGCATTATACAATTGAAATGAAATTGCACTTCAAGCATAAAAAGGATCACGGGAAAGAGCAGATGTGCAACATATTATACTCTGTGGGCGCGTTCAGACAAGCACACACGTGCCTCTTGCAGCATCTCAAAGCCCTTTGAGACACTGCAAGAGGCACATGTGGGAACAAAAAAAATGTTCTCCACACTGCAAAGTTGAAGCTCGGGGCAAAATTAGACCCTCCAGGGGTCAAAAAATACCCCGGGGGAAAAAAGTGGGGCAGGGCATGGTCCAGGACTGTGCCCTGAGGCAACCAGAGACTCAGTCCTCTACAGAGATGCTCTGGTAGCCAGCCAGAGCGTCCCTATAGCTGGACCTAGCCCCGGTGCTGAAGCACGCTACCTACCCATGCAAGCTGCAGGGACCTGAAACTGGCTTGCCAGGTAAGTAGAGGGTTGGGGGCCTGGAGGAGGGGGGAGGGGACCATGGTGGAGGACCCGCCCAGCCCCCACCCCTATTCATTCCCCCTGCCCCCGTTCGTTCTCCCCCGCTCCCCATTCATTCCTCATGCTCTCCTAGCACGCCCCCACACTCACTCACTCACTCACTCACTCACTGGCAGTAGCAACAGTGTTCAGGGCTGCTTGGGGTTTCATGGCACAGCCCTCTGCATGAGGGACAGCGGGGCTTGGCCCCAGTTGCCTGGCACCCCTGCTGCCATATCGCATGGGTGCGGCCTGGCTCAGCAGGTCACTTTGTGCTGACTCAGAGCTCCAGCCACTTGGGCTGAGCAGTGCTGAGCCCTGGGTGACAGCTGTTGCACCCCTGAGCTTCCAGACAGCACGCAGTGCACTGCCAAGCTGAGCCACACCCTCACAATACAGCAGTGGCAGTGTGGGTGCCAGGCAGCCAGGGCCGAGCCCGCTGCCCCACACCACGTGAGGGGACTGTGCCATGAGGCCCTGAGTGGCCCCCACTGCTGCTGCTACTGGTAAGCTGCGAGCAGTGCAGGAGGCTGGAGCCAGACAGGGGAGCCATCAGGAGCCTGGAGTCCACTGGGGAATCCCTGAATTATTTCCAGCCTCCTGATGGCTCCCCTGCTCATCTCCAAACACCTGCTCATTCTCCTGCATGTCTCCAGCCTCCAGAGGACTGGAGATAGAGCAAAAGAATGAGCAAGGGGCTGCAGACAAGACCCTAGAGACAAGCTGGAGACGTGACCCTGGAGATGAGCAGGGGAATGAGTAGGAAGCTGGAGACAGCAGGGGAATGTCTGCCGCTCATCTCCAGGGGCTCATCTCCAGCCTTCTGCTCATTCTCCTGTTCATCTCTAGCCTCCCAAGGCTGGGAATGAGCAGGGGGATGGAGATGAGCAGGAGGCTGGAGATGAGCAGGAGAACAAGCAGGAGGCTGGAGACAAACCCCTGGAGATGAGCAGGAGACTTCCCCTGCTGTCTCCAGCCTCCTGCTTATTCTCCTAATCATTTCCAGCTTCCAGAGGCTGGAGATGAGTAGAAGAATAAGCAGGGGGCTGGAGACCAGCGGGGAGGCTGCGGGGAGCTGCAGCCCCTTGGCGGGGGGGATGGGGGCTGGGACCCTGCAGGCAGGGTAGTCTATGTGATGTGGGGGGGTCTGCCATGTGGGGGGAAGGGGACTCACCCCTCCTAAGAAGCCCCCACACCTACAGTCCCCCCACACCTACCCACATGCTGACCTGCATTCCCCCACATCCCTCCATACCCACCCACACCCACCAGGTGATGAGGAAAACAAAAACAAACATTGAAACATATAAATATTTAGGATGTATTTTATTATGATACTAGAGACACTGGTCAACTTCCAAATTGCTTTAACATTGTAAATATAGCAATAAAACATTGCCCATCTGATCAATCCCTCTTTCTTTCTTTTGTTCTAATTTTGGAAGAATGTCGGTTTTGGGGTATTTTAAAAAGTGAATTTGGGATGCTGCTTCAGCAGTCTAGCTGACACAAGGGGCTAGTGTCCCCAGATACTAATTGCCCAGGCCCCAGAAGCTCCTGAGGGCAAGTAGCCCTGAACTGCTGGCCAGGGAAGGTTTTTATACTACTGGAGCCAGCACAAAGCAGGTTTTTATACTGCTGGCTCTAGCTCCCCCTGGCTGCAGATCTGGGAGAAGCCAGGAAGGGTTATTTTGCTCCAAGTGGAACAATTTGCTCCACAACAAAGTGCATGTCCAGGCACATGCATTGAGGCAAAAAATCCCAGCTCAAATTTGCACTGCTTCTATTTGAGCTGCTGCAAGTGCATGTGCTTGCATGTGTGGATGCACCCTGCCTGTTTTCACACTGCAGCATAAATGGTTAGGAAAGAACTTATTTAACCATATACCTATGTGCTTGCTTGAATGGGTACAAATTGCATTGTCAAGTGCCTGGTAATTAAAACGTCTCTTCTGCCATTTCAGAAGGCATTTGTATTGTTGCAAAGAGTCATCTGCTCCTATTTGCAGGAGCAAAGCATTCACCCTGTTTAAGAGTGATAAATACAACATTACTTTCCTCTAAGTTTATTTTTTGCACTAGTCTTTAGAATGTGACTCCAGTTAAGGGTTCAATGCAAGTAAATAATGCATTAAAACTCTTTGGAGTGGGGAAATTACTGAGCACATAAAGGGAAGGGGAAGATGCCACTGCAGCGAAGATGGTTACTTTCTACAAATAACATATCTTCATACCATACAGTGCATTGTTCTCCTGGCCATTATTACAACTCCACGACTCACAGATGTATCAGATGTCCTGTTGGAACCTACCAACCTGACTTTGGTCGGAACTACTGCATAACCTGCCCTGGGAATACAAGTACAGATTTTGATGGCTCTACTAATGTTACACACTGTAAAAGTAAGTTACATTAAGTTAGTTATGAGACCAAACCAAAACTCTAGACCCAAAATAATCCAACCTTTGGGATATTCAGAATTTCAAGATGAAGCTAATTTTTTGCAGTTTAGCAGAAACAAATAATTCTACTCACTGCCAGAACTGTGAAAAATTATAATGTTAGTGAACAACATCAAAACCTGGAAAAGAAGCACTGGATACATGTAAAATATTTTGGCATTAGTTTAATTTGGCATCATGCACAAAATAATTAAATACACAGAGCTTTTATAAACTTTCCAGACCATGCAAGTTTCATGGAGATTAATTTTCCTGTGAGTCTCAGTGGGCGCATCTACACCAGACGCTAACTGCACAGTAGCCTACTAACACTGCACAGTAGTGTGCCAGGCAAAAAAGTGCTAATACACTACTGCGTAGTAGTATTGGGCTACTGAACAGTAAGTGTCACTACAAACCTGTGCACTGGTGCTACTGTGCAGTAGCGCGAGTTACTGCACATTGATTTAGTCCTTGGTTAGCCAAGTACTAAAGTTAATGTGCAGTAACTACAGCTTATTAATGAACATGTAGATGCACCCACTAGAAATAAAAATACTTCCAGTGGAATTGGCATGAGAGCTAGTTATAAAATACTGTGAGATATAGTCAAACATGATACAAGTACCAGGTAATATTTAATTACAATGAAATCTGCATTAAGAGTCTCCTGTAGTAATCCTCCCCCTATCTTAAATTACCGTTAAAAATATCCCCCAAGGATTACACTGCAATTTTATTTGACCTTTAAATAGATGCCAATCTTTCTCTAGGCAATGAGGTTTTGCTGGTCTCTTTCGTATTAATTTAAGACAGTTTCACTATAAATATTGAATTAGATCTTCAAAACTAAAAAGATTTGTTTAAGATCTATCCTAAATTTTCAATCTGATTATATGATATTTAAGCACTGAAGTCCCTGGTCACTTCAACTGTAATGAGAATTAATGAGATATTTGTCAGATAACTAAGACTAGTGTAATTGTCCTGTAAAATCAAGTGATCCCATTAATTTTGCTCTCTGTATTGATGTCTTTCCCCCAGCCAAATTCTATTATCCTTGTGTACTCACTGAGGCAGCGATTAAGAAAAATGCTTAAACATATATCTAACTTTAACCATTTTGAGTAATCCCCCTAGGCACCTGAATAACTGCTTGGACAAATAATGCATTCACACTGTTTCGTTCCCCAGTTTAAGTTACAATGCTCCTATACACATGCACGGAGCAGCACATTAATCAAGTCTTCTGGAGAAATTGATGCGCTCCAGCAGCCTTCTGCATGATGTGTATCAGCATCCCCGTGCATCTCCACGCTGAAAAGATGGCAGCAGGAGCTCTTTGAAATAAAACACATTTGATGAGCTTTAGTTCAAGGCATCCCGCTGCCATTTTTTCAGCTCTGGGACACTGACACATAATATGCATGTGCTTTTAGTTAGCGCAGCTCGCTAAATAAAGAGCCCAGCGCTTCATCCCACAGCACGTAAAAATGCCCACAGTATCCAGAGTAGGCAGATAACCACCTGTACCTAGGGTAGCCACTGTAGTAGGCACTATTATCATATGTCATATGTTGAAGGAGCTGATTTGCAGAGTCATAACAGGGCAGCTTCATACCCTGGGTAGCAGCAATGTATGGGGCAGCGCTGGCTGCTGGAATCATGGAGTGGCCAGCTGCCAGCTGTAGCAGTAACTATTTTTGCCCCCTATCTCCCAAAGGCAATGTTAGGCTACTGCTGGTTTGCAGACTCCAGGATAGAAGTGAACATCCAACACCTACACTGGTATAACTTACCTACATAATTCTGCATTGGATTCCAGTAAGTTACACTAATTCAGGCCTAGATGCCATGTTTCCTTCCTTCTTTCATTTTTTTGTGTGCATAAGGGAAAGTTACACCAGTGTGAATGTGATATGTGTCCAGTAACTTTCTGAACCAGAGCTGGATGGCATGACTTCAGTGGGAACTTTCAGGATCAAGCTGTTGCAGCATCTGCTAGGCAGATCACTTTTGATTCTAATAACCAACAATTTTAATAAGCAGCAGCCAAGTGAAGGAAACAAAGTAAAAAGCTTTCATGATATCCCATTCAGGAACACTTGTGGTACTTCATTGTGTTTTACTCAGTTATTACAGTAGCTTACAATAAGCTTACAATCTACCTATGTAGTGGACAAAGACACAGAGCGATAGTGTGAACAGAAGTGGACTAGATTCTAATAGCCAGCTGAAAAGGATCATATTCATAAAGATTTGGATGTTAATATGTGGCTGATTTTATAAAGTGAACAGAAAAGTCAGATAGTACAATGCTTTTGATGTTTAGTTTTGGTGTTTTGACTAATATGCAGCAGATTGATTCTATTATTTTTTAGAATACATTTTCTTCCTTTATTTTTTTCCTCCCCTTTCCTGCAAAGGGGCAAGTGTGGGTAGCTAAACCCTGAGTGTTTCTCAATATAACTTTGATAGTCACCATTTTTCAGACCATGTCATTGATACTGTCCCATTTTTTTCATTACTTGGGTTTTTTAAATAAATATAGAACAGAAGTCTTTTACTTTTTACCTTTTAACAACAACAGACCACCACTTGCAACCCAGCTACTGATAAAATGACCATTATTGATAGAACATTTCTGGCTGCTTGCAATACAACCCTATACATACAGCCAAGGGTACAGCTTGGCCCTCGCATTAATAGTGCACACATAGCCCTTTCCATGTGGAAAATAGTTTAACAACTTCCAGACATTTTAGTCAGGCCCAGAAAGCAAGCATATTACTCCAAGCTTTACAAATAAGGGTAAACAAAGAGTTTACGGATTTGATCAACCCCATAGAGAGAAGTCATTGGCAGGCCTGGGATGAGCAATTAGGGTTCCTGCTGCTGAGTCTGAAATGCCCATAAAACTGTTTTAGGGACTGAGAGAAGTATCCTGGGTGAGTGGCAGAACAGAGCAGAGATATATTAACATATTAAATCTCCTGGCACAAGAGGCAGTTGTGCAGAGCAATTGTATGCAGATTTACAGCCAATTTTACATATCCACAAGTGTTCTATCAGTTTCCATTAAGTATTTACATTTTTTGATGAGTGAGTGAAACTTGTATATCTTGAGGTTCCTCAAGCCCTGAATGTGCTATGTCAAGTAGCTGCCACAGGAAGATTAAAAGCCTTCAGCTACTGTAAAAAGCTGTTAAGCACGAGAGAGAGAGCCAGGCACTCTTAAGTCTAACCCCAGCTGGCTACTTAACAGAACTGTGATTTTGAGAGAATCACTTCACTTCTCTTTATCAGCTTCACCAAGCATTCCCCTGTTTTCCAAGAGTTGTGTGAGGCTTAGACAATGTCTGCATTGTACTTTGAAGAGGTAAAATGTTACTATGTGTACTGAGTCACTACAACCCTGCCATGTGAATAACCCTAATTTAACTGAGAGTTTCAGTTACAGGATTTAACTTACTCAGGACTGCCCCAAAATATTATCACTGCACTTCTGAATAAATGGCATTCCTCTTACTGTCATGATTACAGAGTAGCCAGATTAATAAAAGCGTAAGAATTTGTGCTAACAACTTCTGCCTATGATAGGATGCTCACTGGAAATCTAAATGTATTGGACAGTGTTTTGTTCAGTGAGTAGGGCAAGCTGGTTTATCGTTAATAAGGAGTTCTCATAAAGAGCTGGGCCAGATGAACACACACACAGATTTGGAAAATGATGTGGCCGAATTGGTGTAGCCCCCTTCTCTCCCTACCCCCTCTTTGCTTCAAAGTTGTACCTTTTTAACTAAAGAATTATGTGAAAAAAATCATGGTCAAGAGGCTGTGCACCCTCTTAAAACAAAAATGTGATCTATCACTTTACTCTACATTGACTGGGAACAGGTTTAAGCTAAGTGTGCCTATGTAGCTTGTACTAGTTCATTTAAGTTAGGTTAACATTTCAGTCTAGTTCAATTAATCCAGTTTCAATTCAACCAGAGCAATTTCTGTATGCAAACATTCTCAGTTGATATCAGGTGCAGTTAAACCATTCTGAGTGCATCTTAACAAGGAGATTGGACCTATTTAACTACATGAGGCAACATCAAAAAAGTTAGTTCCACACTGGTAAACCTGAGCTTTAGGTTTGCAAATCAGTTAGCAGCTGGCTCTCAAGATTAAGTACTTTTTTAAAGCCCTTTCATGTAAGGAAAGGGACAGCTACAGAATGTACACAGATCTAAAGCTACAGGGAAGGGTTGACCTGTCCATGACAAGTCCTAAAGAACTGAAGGTACTTCAAAGCAGAAACGCTAATTTATGTTTCTTCACAGACCAGCACTGTGGAGGGGAACTTGGAGATTATACAGGCTATATTGAATCTCCAAACTACCCTGGAGATTACCCAGCCAACATTGAATGCACTTGGAATATAAACCCACCTCCCAAAAGGCGAATACTCATTGTAGTTCCAGAGATATTCCTTCCGATAGAAGATGAGTGTGGTGATGTTTTAGTAATGAGAAAAAGTGGTAAGTTGCCTGTCTTGAGTGATTCAAATGTTTACATCAAAGGGTCTGAGCAGAATATCCATATGGAATGGACAGGGTCCATCAGTTCAATCAAATTGGACAAGTGCTTGGGAATGAATTAATGGAGAAAATTGTAACTAGTGTTAAAAAGTTATGTTAGTGTGGTAATTATCATATGTAAAATGTCCTGGAGGAACTCACAGGGCTGGATCCTATTCCACCTTTTAGGTACCTAAGTGGACTTTGTCACCTTATTCCACCCTGTTCTATTTCTGTAATGCACCCTCATCTTAACCTCAAGACTAAGCTACAAAAAGCAACACCCAGGAATAGGAAGTTTCATAACCTTTTACTTAAACAATTTTCCAGTAACTCAAACCAGGTGGAATAGGATCTAGTCCCTAATGTATTCTTGTCTGACCACATCTTGCATGATGCAAACAAGCCGATCTTCATGGAAGTCAGTGCTTTCCACCAACTGAGAATATGACCAGTCACCTAAGTTTATCTTAGCTCATGTAACTTCAGTTTCTGTTCTTATTACAGAGGCCCTGATTATGGTTCCACATTTAAGGTTAAATACAAGTTTGCATGGCAAGCAGAGATTCAGCCATTTTATTACATATGAAGAATGGAGGCCCACAGCATTCTTTACAACACTTAGGGTGCTGACAGACGTGGAAAAAAAAAAAGACAAAACGAAACAGTGCTTTACCAAAAGAGGCATTGTGTTAGTCTGACCTGGTTCTCCAGCATCTGTATAGGTTGGGCACTTTAGCAGTGCTTTTGGGGGTTTTTGTCTAATGGCTGGTTCAATCAGCTATTAGATAAAAGTGCCAAAAAGCACTGCTGAAGCTCCTGATCTATACAGACACTGGGCGAGCCAGGTCCAACTAACATGATACCTCTTCTGGGGATGCACTGTGTTCAGTATGGGTGCAGGCTGAGCTGAAAGTCAAGGGCTGTTCTGGTGGGGGAGCTTTCACATCTGTAAGCAGTCTTTGTCTCTGAATGCAACCCTGACTATGCCAGTAATGACTCCATTAGGAAAGGAAAACAAGCAAACAATATATTTAAAAATAAAATTTAACCCAAGCTGAGGCCATAGACACATTAAGCACTAATTATAATCATGTGTGGTTACACAGTGGCAGCATTGCAGGACAGAGTTAAATCTGTTTGGGAGTTTTAACTATGTATATCTATACCTGTAATGTGTGTTCTGAGTTTCTCAGGCAGACAAGGTTCCTTGGGTGAATTTGATATCTTTTATTAGACCAACCCAAATAGTTGGAGAATATTTATTAAGCAAGCTTTCGGGTTCAAAAACCCTTCGTCAGGCCAAGGAAGTTTCAGCAGTTGGTGTGTGCTCTTCCTGGATGGAAAGTAAACAAGCCAGGGGCTGGGCTGGGCTGGGCTGGGCTGGGGAGTCAGTTGCCAGGCGGATTATAATGTATCAAAAATCCAATGTCTATGTTTAGTCCATGATCTCTAGTATCCAGGAGGTTGATGAAATGGAGCTCGTAGGCTCGTCTCTGGGAAGCGTTGTGTAAATTTCCCTTGAGGATCAGGACTGAGAGAGTGGCCCTCCTGTGAGAAATGTGCCCCCACCAGTAATTGGGTATTTCTGTCTTTGATGAATTTCTGGTGTGCGTTCATTCTGGTGCGCAGTTGTTGCTTGGTCTCTCCTACATATTTTCCATCAGGGCATTTGGTGCATTGGATGAGATATATTACATTTCTGGAGGTGCAGCTGTAAGATCCTGGGATGCTGATGGCTCTGTTGTGGGGTGTAGTAATTGTGGGGGTGGTGGAGATGTGTTAGCAGGTTTTGCATTTCTTGTCATGGCACGATCTGGATCCTTTTGGTGTGTTCTGGGCTTGAGGAAGTTTGCTTCTGGTGATGAGGTTAGCGAGGTTCGGTGCTTGTTTGAAGGCTGGGATGGGTGGCTCTGGGAAGATCTTTAAGTTTCTCATATGTTTCAGTTTCATTTTGAGTCTTTTAAGTTTGTAATGGAACTGGTCAGAATAATTTTTATAGAATGGTATTCCATCAGATTATATAGCTCTGTTTCAGTTTAAAACACTTAGGCTGCTTGCAGGCGTTAAAAAAAACAAAAAACAAACAAGAAACAAAAAACCCAAAAAACTACATTTTATTTTAAACTCGGCACATTTCCACACTGAGTCCAGCACATGCCCAGAAGAGGTAGTGCGTTAGTTGGACCCAGCCCACCCAACATCTCCATAGATCAAGCACTCTACTGGAACATTTTTGCACTTTTATCTAATAGCTGATTGAATTAGCTTTAGCTAAAAGCACCAAAAAACCCAACTGAAACACCCCATCTATACAGACACTGTGAAGCCAGGTCAAAGTAACATGCTGCTGCTTCTGATAAAGGGCAGGTGGGTTTTTGGGTTGATTTATTTGGGGGCGGGGGAGGGGGGGAGTTGTCTACAAGCAGCCTTAGTTAAATAAGGTTGATTTTTTTTTTTTTCTGCGAATTTTGTTTCAAAAGAAAACCAGGGGGAAAAAACTGGGCAATTCTGAAATGTTGCCTGAAGGTCATACAGGATCTGATCCAAAATGTATTCATGTCACTAAGGTGCTTTTCAAAAACTTCACTGAAAATTGGATCAGCTCCATAATATCTAACATTTGTTTAATTCAACACAGAAAGATGTTTACCTAAATTATCAAAAGGTAGTCTTTGAATTAGGTTAAAAAAAAAAAAAAGCATTTAAATCTTTTTAAACCTGGCTCCACTTTAAGGTTGCCATCTTGTCACATTATTCCTGGATTGAAGATTATTCTTCATCACCTCACTGTTAGTGCTTCTGGGGTGTCTGTGGGATCCTTCTAGGGCTCCCAGACTGTCAACTGTATTTTGATCTTGCAGCATGAGAGTGCCTTTCAGGTCCTAGTACATTGCAATCTGACGGTCAATCTTGTGCTATTGAACTAATTCATCCATTTGGAATTTTTACAAGTGCTCATATAGCACAAGCTTTCTAGGGCAGACTGTCCCATTCTAATATGTGAAAACAGTGCCCCAGGGAGCTACAATAATACAAGTACTATTAATAATAATTTGATGCTACATTCCCACACTACCTTGGGGAAGAGAGAAATGACCATAGTCTTCTGGGGAGAAATGTCTCCTGTATCTGTAGAAAATCCTAGCCTCTCTTATGAGAATATCTAGTTCTTTAAGGGAAAGATATGAATGAATGAATGTACTATAAGTTTGACATCTCTGTTCTTCCAGAGCAAAGAGAGAACAAAATTATACTCTAAATATTTCTCCTGTCTGTATTTAATTTTGTAGCCTCTTCTTCTTCAATTACTACATATGAAACCTGTCAGACATATGAGAGACCAATAGCATTTACCTCCAGATCACGAAAACTCTGGATTCAGTTCAAATCTAATGAAGGAAACAGTGGCAAGGGATTTCAAGTCCCCTATGTGACTTATGATGGTAAGGCTGGAACCATTTTGTATCTATGTACCTCATTTGAATTTGGAAAGTCGTGATTCACTGTCATGTTCTGACTAGAGAGAAAAGAAGTGTGAAATCAACAACTTGATGTGACTCATTTTTGTTTTTTCAGTTAATTATTCTATTATTCCCATGATTTTCCTGATGATTTATTAACGTTTTATTTCTTATTCCAACGGGTTACACAAAGACCTTTGGGCCTGATACAGCTACCAAAAGGTAGTGAGATCTTTGAGATTGAGCACAATGATAGGCTACTGCAAAACAAAGGCAGGTTTTACCATGCAAATGATGCTCTGTCATAATTGCCTATTTACATGGTCTTTACACCATGGTAAATACAAACTAGACCATGATAGCTTGTCCCTTAGTCAGAAGCAACTAAGTTACCACAGGTTAGTGTACATCTACTGTGAGATAAGAGCACACACACGTGTAGTCACAGGAGAATGATGCACAAAGAATCCATGCCTTTTGTTGCCCGTAATAACATATCCACACGCCTCTATCCTTTGTTAATTGTTCCTAATCCTAACCACAATAAGAATGCTCCTATTACTAGTAGTTCTATATTTATAGACAGGTCTGGGCTTCAGTCCCCACCTCTTCCTATCTGTATTCCCCAGCCTGCTCCACCTCCTGCTTCTCATCTGCCATGACTTGATGGTAATAGGTATGTATTCAGAAGGAGGCTGAGGGAGGGGGCAAAAAGGGAAGCATTCTCATTCTTCCTGAGAAAGTAGGGCAATCAACTAGTTACCTCAGGTGTCTGTACATGGAATGCATGGAGCCTGGGAAACAGGCAGAAAGAACTGGAAGACCTTGCACAGTCATGGTACTATGACATGACTGGAATAAGAAACTTGGTGGGATAGCTTGCATGACTGGAATATTGTCATGGATGGGTATAAATTGTTCAGGAAAGACAGGCCAGGGAGAAGAGGAGGAGGAGTTGCACTTTGTCAGTGAGCCATATGACTAGTCAGAGCTCCAGTATGATACTGGAGATAGGCCTGTTGAAAGTCTCTTGGTGAGGGTTAGAGGGGAGAGCAACAAGGGTGGTAGGGGGTCTGCTGTAGACCACCAAACCAGGAGGATGTGGTAGATTAGGCTTTCTTCCAACAGCTAGCTAAAGTTTCCTTACCACCGGGCCTGGTTCTCATGGGGGACTTCAGTCACCCTGACTGTCACAGGACACTAAGGTGTGCCTGTTCCTTTAAAGGCAGAAACTGCCTAGAGAAAGGGCCCTAGGAGCCAGGCAGAGCCCCCACATGTGCAGGTTGCTGTGGCAGCAAGCAAATGAGGGAATTAGCCTGCACCTGCACCCAGTCAGCTGACTGGAAGAAGGCAGGGCCCTGGGCACATATAAGCCCCAGGGCTGGGATTAGAAACTTAGTTCTCTGGCAGCAGCCAAGGGGGAAGAAGCTCTTGTAGAGAAAGCTACTTGGAAATGCTTGACTGCCTGTTCTGCTGCTGGTAGGATTAAGGGGCTATAAGAGCTCATAAGTGCTTGTGGGTAGGCACATTATACTGAGAAAGAAGCTTGCCTTCTTAAAAGGGATAGTGTACCTCAGGTTACTGTTGTGTTGTAGCCCAGGGACTTGTGTTTTCTGTTATTTATACCAGTGGACTGGCCTGAGGCTGTTGGGGAGGAGGAGACCTCATTGGGGCACACTACAGTGTGGAGAGCCCAGTACCAGTGAGGGCGCAGTGACAGGGCGGCGGAGAGCCCAGCACCAGTGAGGGTACAGCGACAGGGGCCAACAGCCCAATGACAACAAGAGGCCAAGCTAAATCAAGGACTCAGAGGGACAACGTGTGAATACCATTTGTCAGGCATGGAGCATAGTAAAGGCGTGGCTTTGGAGCCGCACATCTAGCCCCATAACGCTTAGGGTGTCTTGAGAGGCACTGACTTTGAGTGAGACCTGGCAAGGGATCCAAGATCAGCAGGATCTAGTGGGGTTCAAGAGGACTGTAACCACACAAACTCATGGGCAGCCCCCCAACTTTTATTTCAACCAACAAGACATGGCAGGAAAGATTAGAAGGCACCTGCAGGGCGAAGCAGGCATGGTCACAGACCCCTAGGGTCATCACAGCCATCCCTGGGAACCCCCGCAATGTGACACTGACATCTGCTGGGTGAGCAATACAGCAGTGCAGAGGTAATCCAGGAAGTTTTTTGTGGACAACTTCCTGGTGCAAGAACTACAGAAGTCACCTAGGGGCCATGTTCTTCTTGACCTCCTGCTCACAAATAGGGAAGAATTGGTGGGGCGCATACTAGTGGATGGCAGCTTGGACAGCAGCTACCATGAGATGATTGAGTTCTGGTTCCTGAGGAAAGGAAGGAGAGAAGCAGAGTACAGACCCTGGGCTTCAGAAAAGCAGACTTTGACTCACTTAGGGAACTGATGGGCAGGATCTCCTGGGAGGCCAGTCTAAGGGGGAGAGGAGTCCAGGATAGTAGACTGTACTTCGAAGAAACCTTACTGGAGGCACAAGACAAACCCTCTTGATGTGCAACAAGACTAGCAAGCATGGCAGAAGACCAGCTTGGTTTAGCAGGGAACTCTTTAGTAAGCTAAAACACAAAAAGGAAGCTTATAAGAAGTGGAAACTTGGACAAACAACTATGGAGGAGTAAAACAGTATTGCTCAGGCATGGAGGCCAGAGACCAATTGGAGTTGCAACTAGCAAGGAACATGAAGGGTAACAAGAAGGGTTTCTACAAGTATGTCAGCAACAGGAGGAGGATCAGGGATAGCTTGGGTCCTTTACCAAATGGTGGAGGCAACCTAGTGACAGAGGATGCAGGAAAGGCTAAAGTACTCAATGCCTTTTTCACCTCAGTCTTCACAGGCAAGGTCAGCTCCCAGACTACTGCACCTGGCGGCACATTTTGGGGAGGACGTGAGCAGCCAACAGTGGCAAAAGGACAGGTTACGGACTATTTAGAACAACTGGATGCATACAAGTACATGGGGCTGGACAGGATGCACCCAGTGGTGCTGAGGGAGTAGGCTGATGTGATTGCAGAGCTGCTGGCCATCATTTTTTAAAACTCCTGGTGATCAGGAGAGGTCCCGGACAATTGGAAAAAGATAAATATAGTGCCCATCTTTAAGAAAGGTAAGAGGGAGGATCCAGAGAACTACAGACTGGTCAACCACACCTCAGTCCCTGGAAAAATCATGAAGCAGGTCCTCAAATAAGCCTTTTAGAATAGAATCATAGAACCAGAAGGGACCTGTATGATCATCAAGTCTGGCCCCCTGCTATGGGCAGGAAGTATTGGGCTCAGATGAGCTCAGCAAGGTGCCTGTCCAGCCTTGTCTTGAACACATCCAAGGAGGGCGACTGCACCACCTCTGCTGGGAACGTGTTCCAGATTCTGGTGACCCTTACAGAGAAGATTTTTTTTCCTCATATCCAACCTGAATTTTCCCTCTATTAATTTATGCCCATTGGTCTTCGTCCTCCCTTGAGGTGCCTTCCTGAAGAGTTGCTCGCCTAGTTCTTGATGCTCCTCCATGAGGTACTTGTAGGCAGCTACCAAGTCACCTCTCAGCCTTCTCTTCCTCTGAACAGGCCCAGTTCCCAGAGTCTCTCCTCATAGGGCCTGCACTTCATGCCCTTAATCAAACAGGTGGCCCTACTTTGTACCCTCTCGAGCTTTATCTATATCCTTGAAGTGTGGTGCTCAGAACTGGGCATAGTACTCCAGCTGAGGCCTCACCAATGCTGAATAGGGAGGGAGGAGTACCTCTCTGGATCTATTGGCCACACAGCAGCTGATGCATGCCAGAGTTTTATTGGCCCTTTTGACAGCCTCATCACACTGTTGGGTCGTATTCATCTTCCAGTTGATTGTGACCCCAAGTCTCCTTCAGATGTTGTGCCAGTCAGTAGGCCACCACCCATTGTATAGTTGTGATGAGGGTTCTTTCTACCCAGGTGAAGGACCTTGCACTTCTCCCTGTTAAACTTCATCTGATTTTGTTCCACCCTTGAGTCCAGTCTGTCAAAGTTCTCCTGGATTTTTGCCCTTTTGTCCCTCATCCAGATGGTTAGTGACCTGGTTGTAGAAGGACACAGGGTTCATGAGGCATGATCTTCCCTTGACAAAGCTGTGCTGGTTGCTGTTTAACACCCCATCCGTTACCAGCTTGTAGTTGATAGCCTCCTTAACCAACTTTTCAAAGATTTTACCTGGGACTGAGGTCAGACTGACTGGCCTGTAGTTTTGCGGGGTCATCCCTCTCCCTTCTTAAAGATGGGAACTGCATTGTCCCTCTTCCAGTCATCTGGGGACCACTCCCAAGTTCCACGACTCTTCAGATAGCTTGGCCAATGGTGCTGCTATGAGTTCAGCCAGGTTTTTCAGGACTCTTGGGTGCAGGTCATCTGGTCCAGCAGACTTGAAGATGTCCAAGCATTGTAAAAGATCCTTCACCTGTTCTGGGCTGACTTCATATAGGCTGTTACCTTCCCCTTGTTCCCTGGGCCTCTGGTCAGATGAGCAGCCCCCCTTGGATTTCAGGAATAATACAAAATATGCTTTCAGGAGTTCTGCCTTTTTGCGTGTGTCAACTGTGGACTGCCCCTGGGTATTCAGTAGAGGTCCCACAGTGGAGCTCAATTTTTTTTCTTCCTCCCTATGTATCTATAGAAGGACTTTTTGTTGTCCTTTATACCGGTTGCCAGTTTGATCTTCAGGTCTAACTTAGCTTTCCATGTCTCATATCTGCAGGCCCTGGCAATACGAGTGTCTTCCTCCCTGGTTGCTGAGCTGTTCCTCCATTGCATATACACTTATTTTTTCTTTATCAATAGCTTGCTAATATCACTGGTGAGCCAAGCAGGTCTCCTGACTCTCTTCCCACTTTTTGCCTGTGTGGAGATGGCATGTTTTTGAGCCATGAGAATTGTCTCCGTAAAGAAGCACCATCATTCCTGCACACCCAGATCATCCAAATGTCAGTTGCAGAGGGCCTCTCCAACAAGCCTCTTGAGTTTGCCAAGATTTGCCTTCTTGAAATTCAGGCCTTCTGTTCTGGTAACTAACTTCCCAGTCTTATGGTGGATGGTAAACCTTATCAGGTCATGGTCACTGTCGCCCAGAGTACCACCAATCCTCATGTCGCCTATGATGTCCTCCCCTCTGGCCAGCACTAGGGCCAGAGTGACCTTGCCCTAGGCCCTTCCACAACCTGTGTCAGAACAGATCATCTATTGTCCCCAGAAAGTTAGCTGACCTGCTGGAGGCAGCCAAATGGTCTTCCCAACAGATGCCTGGGTAGTTGAAGTCACCAATGATGATCACAGGTCTAGTGCTAGCTGCCTCTGTCAATTCTCCTGAAAATGCTTAATCACTCCCCTCATCTTGGGAGGAAGGCCTGTAGTAGACTCCCACCATTAGGTCTCCCTCTTCCGGTCCCCCCTGTAGCCTGACCCAGAGGGTCTCAAGGTAGCCTTCCCTGCTGTCAAAGGTGACCTGCAGGGATGGGTACTGTGCTTTCACATAGAGGGCCACACCTCCTCCCTTCTTCCCAATCCAATCCTTCCTATGAAGCCTGTAACCCTCAATATTAACTGCCCAGTCATGTGTATCGTCCCACCAGGTCTCCATCAACCCAATTAAGTTGAATTTCTCATCGGCCAGAAGACGTGCCAGTTCCTCCTGTTTATTTCCCATGCTTCTGGCATTCCCATAAAGCATCTGAGCTTCCCCTTAGTCACCTCAGTTTTTCTATCATGATGTCTCTGCCTCCAGATGCTAGAACCCATCTGGACATCCATGGTTTGAATGCCCTCCTGTGCATCATTGTGGCTAGTGGATTTTGCTTCCACAGTGGAACCTTCTCCCTGGCCCCCAGACGTGCCTAGTTTAAAGTTCTCAACAAGTCAGTGAAGAACCTCTTCCCTCTGCCCATGAGATGAATGCTGTCCCTTGCGTGGAGGCTACTGTAGCTAAACTGCACACCAATGTTGAGGTATCCAAAACCCACACAGTGACACCATCTTCTGAGCCTTCAGTTGACCTCCTTGATACACTCCTCCCTCCAATGGCCATGCCCCCTGACTGGGAGCACTTTTCTAAGAATTTTGAGGAGAAGAAGGTGATTAGAACCAGTCAGCATGGATTCACCAAGGGCAAATCATGCCTGACCAACCTGATTGCCTTCTACAATGAGATGACTGGCTCTGTGGATGCAGGAAGAGTAGTGAATGTGATATACCTTGACTTTAGCAAAGCTTTTGGTATGGTCTCCCACAACATTCTCACAAACAAACTAAGGAAGTACAATTCGGATGAATGGACTGTAAAGTGGATAGAAAACTGGCTAGATTATTGGGCTCAAAGCGTAGTAATCAATGGTTTGATGTCTAGTTGGCAGTCGGTATCAAGTGGAGTACCCAAAGGATTGATCTTGGGGTTGGTTTGGCTCAATATTTTCATCAATGACCTGGAAGATGGAATAGAGTGTACCCTCAAAACATTTGCAGATGACACTAAGCTGGTGGGGTAATAGATATGCTGGAGGATAGGGCTAGGATTCAGAGAGACCTGGGTTCAATAAGGAGAAGCGTAAAGTCCTGTATTTAGGATGGAACAATTCCATGCGCCACTACAGGTTGGGGACTGACTGGCTAAGCAGCAGCTCTGCAGAAAAGGACCTGGGGGTTAAAGTGGACATTAAGCTGAATGAACCAGTACTGCACCCTTGTTGCCAAGAAGGCTAACAACATAATGGGCTGCATTAGTAGGAGTGTTGCCAGTAGATCAAGAGAAGTAATTCTTTCCCTCTATTCTGCATGAGTGAGGCCATATCTGGAGTACTGTGTCCAGTTTTGGCCCCCAGCTAGAGAGAGGATGTGGACAAATTGGACAGTCCAGCAGAGGTCAACAAAAATGGTTAGGGTGCTGGGGCACATGACTGATGAAGAGAAGCTCGGCTTATTTAGTCTGGAAAGACTAAAGAGAAGACTATGGGGAGATTTAATAGCAGCCTTCAACTAACTGAAGGGTGGTTCCAAAGAGGATGGAGCTAGACTGTTCTCAATGATGGCAGATAACAGAACAAGGAACAATGGTCTCAAGTTGCAGCAAGGGAAGTTTAGGTTAAATATTAGGAAAAACTTGATCACTAGGAAGGTAGTAAAGCACTGGAATGGGTTACCCAGAAAGGTTGTGGAATCTCCATCCTTGGAGTTTTTCCATATCCAGCTAGACAAAGCCTTGGCTGGGATGATCTAGTTGGGGGTGGTCCTGCTTTGGGTCCCTGCCAACCCTAATTTTCTATTATTCTATAATTCTATACCCTTGAGACTGAGATGGTCCTTTCCTGTGTGCCTTAAGGCTATTATAATGGCCTCCTTGTCACCCCCATAGCCATGCGCACACCTCACAGATGATTCTCCATCTGCCCATCTTCCTCACACTTTCTCTCTCCAGGCAAAATCAGCACTGGGCCCTGGAGGCCCCAACTCTTGTTTGAGCTTCACCCTTTTCAGCTTCAGCCCCTTTTCCTCTAGCTGAGACCGCTCAGTTCAGGTACACCGTTTCAGGGCCTGGTTCTCTGGGTCTCAGCCCTGCAGTGGAGGATGCCTTCCAGGTACCCCACTCAGGGCCTCTACATATACAATCACTCCCAGTCTTCCAGTCTTTTTACTTAATTCCAAAACAAAGAATCAGAACAAATGGATTAATCACCTTGTTGCAAGCTGCTTCCAACCCTCCAGGGTTACAGCAAGGGTTGACCACTGTCTGGAGCTCCCTTCCCCAGCCTCTCAGGGTTTCTCTCCCACACCCACCACCTACAGACTAGAACCTTTCTCCCCGCCCATTTTATAGGCCTGGGCTTATATCCCTAAACCCTGCCTTCATTTGGTGCCTGGCCTCTACCCCAAGGGAGAGGAAGCTGTCTGGAGAGGAAGCTGTCCTACTTAGCTTAATGGGCTGCCTGGCTTCCCCTGTTTGCAGCCTTTTGCAGCTCCTTAACCTTTCCCAACCCCCAGGCTTGAGTCTTTTTGGAGTTTCCTGCTGCATCCTGTTTCCCCTGCAAGTCCCAAAAATTCTGCTCCCAGAAGGGGTCTGCTTCCTTCTCCTCTTCCTCTGTTGCATGCAGGTAACAGAATTTGCATTGCCTGTTACACCCATTCATGGAGGTCAGATGGTACCCAACAAATGAATAAAATACAGCAATTAAAAAAAATGAAGACAGAAAAGACAAATAATTTCTATGAGAATAGTAATTTATAACCAATCTGTTCTCACCAGCCATCTCCACATGCCAAAGAAAGATCCCCATCACTATAGATAAAACTAAAAAAAGGCACACAAGTCTTTACCCAGAAATATGCCAAAGATGCCTATGTAGACTCTGTTTGAAAGAAGATTTTCTTTAATAAATGTGAAGCAATTTCATTTCATAAATTTGAAGAAATGTCTTTGTTAGCTCACTTCACTGCTAAAGATTACTGTAATTTTCTGAATAGTTAGTTGACCTGGAATTGAGATTGTTACAGGGAGGAACACATCAGGATCAAGGGGAATATAAGTTCAGTAAGTCAATTAAGGTTTCTATGCCTTTCTTCATCTCTGAAATGTAAATAACAATGGCTATCTGCTTTACAATAGTTTTGCAAGCCCAAGTCTTGGTAAAGAAAACTCGGAACTTTAACTGTAGAACACTGCAGAATTCTCAGTATTAAGGGGTTTCTTTTAGATTCCAGTGGTAGTTGTTTATGTATTAACCACAAACCACAAAATGATACAAATTATGACTTACCAGCCCCTTTTTCCTTTATTTTTCAGAGGATTACCAACAGCTGATAGAAGACATTGTTCGAGATGGACGATTATATGCATCAGAAAATCATCAAGAAATTTTAAAAGTATGTCAACTTTCCTTTAGCTGAGCAAGGTCAAGAGTCCTGTGTAAGAGGTCCCAGACTAGCTAGTATTCCTGACATCAGAATTGGTCATTATTTTGAGAAGCTAGAGCTATTACTATCATAATGTCATTGTGGTATTCCATCCGTGATCATTTAAGAACAACATTCTTCTTAGAGATCTGTACAATGAATCTTGGCTCCAGTATTTTTTTTCCACTTACATGCATGTGTGAGAAAAATACAGGTCCACAACAATGATCTGACTGGTCAATAAGGAACCATTTATAAACACCTGTTTGAATTTCTGGGTAATTCTTTAACACAAAGTATGACAACATTAAGAAGAAAATAATTTACTAGTCCCTGGAGCATTACCCCACATGCATATTGTGGATGTAACACTAGCCAGTCCGAACTGCCACTTTCTGTCACTACTTGTATCCCAGAGCTAAGTATGGACAGTCAAAAAGCCAGAGGTTGAATCGATTCAGTCTTTGCAGGTTAGTCTAAACTGTGTAGATTGAACCAAGAAGCAAGTGAACAGACATTGACTTCTAATTCAGAAAATGCAGCCACATGCCTGCAGTGGCTCAGGCCAGAAGCTTGGGGGGGGTGCTAGAGCAAGCCTTCCAGCCACTGCTGAAGGGAAGGGAGGCGAGAAGCCCTTCAAGGCTTTCTCCCCCTCCCTGCTGAAATGGAAGGTGGATGGCCAGGCCCCAGACTGGGCCAGATTGCTGATGCCAGGGGAAGGAGAGCTTTAAACCCTTTTCCCTGGCCCACATGGGACCCCAGCCTGCATCAGTCTCGGGGGAAGCTGCCCCTGCCAGGCTTATCCCCTGTTTCCGGCCCAGGCCACCATCCTGACAGGGGGGAGGTGGGGTATAAACCCCATTACTGGCCCACAGGGGACCCCAGCCAAGGTCTGCCTGGTGTAGGAGGTGGGGCAGCCCCTGCCAGGCTTTTGCCCCCTGCTCTCTGCTGGGCAGAGTGGGCAGTCCCTGCCAGGCTTTTCCCCTCCACACCTCGAGCCTGGGGTTTGCACACTGGGATGGGGAGCGGAAAACCCCCTCCCAGTCCCACACAGAACCCCAGCTGGGGTCTGATGGGTGGGTACCCCCTGGCAGGCTTTTGCCCTCCAGCTTGAGCAGAGAGGGGGGTGCATGGCTAGGCCCTGGCCTGGGGCTGGCACTCAGGCAGGGCAGAGGGGCCCACAGAGGACCCCCTCCTAGGCCCACATGGGACCCCAGGCCTGGTCTGACTGTGGGGACAGCCCCTGCCAGGCTTCTATCTGCCACTCCCCGCTTGAGATGGGGGAGAGAGTCTCTGCCAGGGTTTTGCACCCCTGTCAAATGGAGAGTGGGGGGTGTGGCCACACCTCAGCTAGGGGCTCGCAGCCTGAGGTAGGTAGGGAAGGGGTTTAAACCCCCTCCCTGGCTGCATGGGACTGCAGCCTGGGTTTGCCCCGGGGGAGAGGCAGTCCCTGCCAGGCCCCCATGCCCTGTTCAAACATAGAGTGGGAATGAGGGTGGGGTATGGCCACATCCCAGCCCAGGGCACGCAGGCTACAGCAGGGAGGTTTTAAGCCCCTGCTCTGGCCACAGACCCCATTCAGGGTTTGCCTGGTGGGGGGCAGCCCCTGTCAGGCTTTTACCACCCCCCCCCCATGCTACTTGTTCTGCTGGAGGGAGGGGCATGGCCACACTCCAGCCCGGGGCGCTCACACTCAGGTGGAGTGGGAGAGGAGTTTAAACCCCCGCCCTCTCCTCTGCCTCAGCATGGCAACCTGGCTGGCAATTGATTATGCCCCCCACCCCTCTGCTCAAGTGGGGAGCAAAGGAAAAGCCAGGCAGGGGCTGCTTCACCTCTGCCAGACAGACCCTGGAAAGGATCCCTTGGAGGTGAGGGGATTTAAAACCCTCCCCCCTCCCCTCCTGTAGGTGGGGGGGGGGGTTAAACCCCTCACCTTCCCCTCTGCCTCAACCTGTTGGACTGGCTGGCATCTGGCCTCACCCCCCCACCCCTCTGCTCAAGGGGGGGAGGAAGGGAAAATACTATGAGGGGCTGCTCTGCCCCTTCCAGGCAGACCCCAGCTGGAGTTCAGAGCCAGGTTTCCCACCCACTATCCCCTTCTCAGCCATCTAGAGCAGTGATAGTGCTCCAGCGAGGGAGCAGAGAGGTGGGACCAACCCTCCTCCACTCGAGCAGACAGCCTCAGCCCAGGGCTGCAAAGCATCCTGTGATGCTGGGGGAGTGTGATTTAACTTGAACTGGGAAGAGGTCTGGGACTGAAGTTGCATAAACCAGTTTGACCTAAATCAGTTCAGTCAGAAACTACATCCAACCAGGTTTATTTTAAAGTGGTTTCAGTGACTTTGAAAGTGGTTTAAGTGCACTGAACTTCTGTTCTGTTACAGGTTTAAACTGGTTTCTGATCACTTAAACTAGTTTGCTTATAACTTCTGTCCCTAGCTCAAGAACATAGTAAATGAGCAGTGTGATGGGACTAACTTGTATAAATCCAACTCATGTGTTAAAAAGCCCAACATTATAAATACTAATTTCTGAGGTTTTTGTTCAGAAGTACATTATAGAAGAGGGCACATATGCACCCAAAAAATGTTGGGGTATCTGGATCCCAGGATTTGCTATGGTCCATTTAAATGACATGGTAAGAGTTTCAGAAAGTTTAGAAATGGCGGTTGTATCAAGATCCCAGTACGGGAGTAGCTATAAAGTGACCCTGTCTCATCAGTAAGGTGATTTTCCTTAAAACTTCAAATAGGTTGAGTGTCAAATAGGTATTTCCAGAATATTCTGAGCAGACTCAGTAGAACAGAGTCCTTGCTTTGTAATATAAGGCCTACGTACTCTAAGTCTGGCACATGCTTAAATGTTGTGTTGAATAAGGACCTAAATGAGGTGCTAAGTTACATGGTTTTATGTTAGAAAAGTTACTTAATTAAGAAAAACACCCATTGTTTAAACAACATTCTTCATTTTAAATTGGCACTTTTAAAAAAGAGTCACCAAGTTAGTAGGGCTGTGTGAAATTTTGCCAGCTGTTTTGTTCCAACGCTGTTTTGACCAATTTTGAGGTCAAAACAGCAAAATTGGAAAAAAGAAAGGCAGTCAAAATAGCCTTAAAACAAAACGAGGCTGGTCAAAACATTTTGAAAGTCGAAACGTTTTGACCATAGGCTGGGGATGGGAAGTCAGTCCAGCTGGGCTAACTTCCCATCCCCAGTCCAAGACCCGGCAGGGGGCGGGAGGCAGCCCAGCTGGGCTGTTCCCCAGTGCCCCCCACTAGATCGCACTGGGGTCAGAAAGCAGCCCACCTGGGCTGCTTTCCAGTGCCCCGCACTGGATCATGCCGGGGGCGGGAGGCAGCCCAGCTGGGCTGCTTCTCAGTACCCCACACTAGATCATGCGGGGGCGGGAGGCAGCCCAGCAAGGCTGCTTCCCGGTGCCCCGTGCTAGATTGTGCTGGGGCCGGGAAGCAGCCTAGCTGGTTCAGAAGTGATGTAGTGCTGGGGATGGGAAGTCAGCCCAGCTGGTCTGACTTCCCATCCCCAGCCAAACTCGAAACAGCATCAAAACAGCCTTTCTGTTTCAACAGAATGGTATGGAACAGCTGTTTTGACTCTAAATTAAATTCAAGATGAAACGCTGTTCCCTCGAACCGTTGAAACTCAAGGCAAAACAGAACTGTGCCATTTCACACAGCCCTACAAGCTAGTTATATGCATGAAAATAAATGTATCTATCCAAAAATTGTCTTGTCTCAACAAGGCATAACTGCTACACAGTTGCATGCTGCCAGGAAAACAAACTTGGCTTTTCAAAAATAGAGTGAGTAGAAGCAGGAAGGTTGGGAGAAAGTACAGCTGGGCAGCCAGCCACAGCGCACAAAGCACCACAAAAGGCAACAGCAAGTGTTTCTGCATCTTGGAGTTAATGTACAGTCTGGAGTGACAGGTATTATTATGCCAAAGGAAGGCAAGTGAATGTGAAAGCTAAACCAACACTAGTGTTGACAGCTGAAATGAAAAAACCTTGTTATGCTGTTAACAGAACTAAGTCATGTGTTCTCCAGGATTAGAAAAATTGCCAGAAGCAAATTGCCAAAATCTCTAATTCTGTGTTTCCAAGTATTTTAAGTGTTTTGCTTGTCAAGTCTGTCTCCCCTAAAGGTACTTTTCATATTACAGCATGGTTACAATTACTTTAAGCAATAAATATTATAGAAACCTTGGCAAAAGCTGAGACATTGCCTAGTGTCTAGTGAAGGCTTTGCATACTGGACCTATGCAAAACTAATAGTTCAGGCTGAGATTTTTTCAAAGGTACCTAGGGAATAAGAGCAGTAACCTGTCAATGGGAAATGGGTACCTAAGCCTCTTAACCACTTCTCAAAATCTCATCACACTTAAGCTTTGAAATTCTAAGGGTGACTATTTCTGTGGATTTTTGGATTTGATTTTGAATTTGGATTCTGTGGTTTTTTTCACTTCCCTGTTGCATGGAAGACCCAGAAAAGCAACAGAGGACATGGATCAATGGGCTATTCAAGGGAAAGTGAGGGCTGCCAAATGTACGTAATAAGGAAATTGAAAAAGATGAGAAGAACGCTGAGTGGAATTCTGGCTCTGTTGAGATGCATGGGAAATTTGCTGCTGCAAAACAAAGTGAACAGTTCAGGGGACTGCTAGAAATCATGTTGAGCTGCAGTGAGAAGTACTTGGCATTATATGACACCTGGTAGAAATGATCTGTTGGTGTGCCTTGTCCTACAGAAGACATTACAAATATCAACCAATTCCAACTGGCTCAGTTCTGGAAGGATCTGCTCAATGGAATTATGAGGTCACACAGATCCTGACTGTGCTTAGGTAACTACTGAATGAAGCCATTTGCACCTTACAGGAGCAAGTCCTGAGAGAGCTCAGAATTTGCAAAAATTGTGAATACCAAGCTACCCTTTCCCTCACTGGGGCTGGGACAGTGTGAGATGGGGGTGAGATAAACAGGAGTGGCAATGTGTGACAGTTTTCAGTGCTGCTGCCCATATTTGTGTATGTTTTGAGGTCAGCAGGTACTCTAACATGCCATCATGACACCTTCCACAAACATTGATTCCATATGTTTAATATAGGAAGCAAAGTGAACTGCTATTTGTATAATATGAAACAGCCTTGGTGGATTTAAGCATGCTTAAACTGCTTTATCCTCAGCTGCTTTTTGCAAAAGAATCAATATGAGTAAAAATTAATTGTAAATGTTATGCAAAAACTAATACAACCAAATGTGTCTAATATATATTTTGTCTACCACAGGACAAGAAATTGATCAAAGCCCTCTTTGATGTATTGGCACATCCTCAAAATTATTTCAAGTACACAGCACAAGAGTCAAAGGAGATGTTCCCAAGATCATTTATAAAGCTACTGCGATCAAAAGTTTCCAGATTTCTACGACCATACAAATAGTTTTCTAGTGATTTTCAGTTTTGGATTATTTTGCATTCCTGTCAAATATTGTATTTTCCTCCACAGTAGAAACATTTGCTAATTTGAAGGCTCTTTTTTGCAGTCTTTATTGTCAGTTGTATGTTGAAGAATGACTATAATGGTTTATAATTGTTAAAAACCAATATTCTGAATGGGATTTTTACTTCAAAGAGGAATACTTGTGGATCCTTGAGTGCATCCAATTGAAGATCTAAATTTGTGTCTGCACTAGTGTGCTTTCATCTTTCATGTAAAAATATCTGTTTTAGAAAATATTTTTTCTAAGGCTTTTATTTTCTAGCAAAATAGATTTCTTCTAAGCAAAAAAGAAACCTATTCAACCTGGTCAAAGAAACTACCTGCAAATAATTATTGTTATAGAAAGGAGTATGTAGTATAAATTCTGTTTGGATTTTGAATTGCACTTGAACTTTATATTTGAAATTTTAGAAGAAAGCAAAACAATCTAAATTTTGTTATTTCCCATTTGTGTTTTTGTGGAAATGATGTTCTAGTATAAACCAAAAAAGAAAAAGGAAAAAAAAAAGAAATGGAAGTATAATTTTGTTCTATGGATTACACAAGATTGAATCGCATGTCTTATTATTTTATCTGCCCTATTTTAACCCACTTCAAAGGTCTACCACTGTTCAGAACCTGTCCTGCTGCAGATACAGTTTTGGAACTTTATATGCCATTTGGTCTCTTTGAAGACTTTTACAATAGGATGGATGAGAACAAAGAACAACAAAACTAGTAGTCCACTTTTTCTTTCCCTTGATAGAGCATCTAATTAAGTACAATATATAAATATATACTTCTATTTGTGGATGCTTTAGTAATATTATCGTTAGTTACTGTAAATATCACTCATGCTTAAGTCTTTACTCCCATGCACAATATTTACTTGTATCTATTTGTATCTTCACTTAGATGATTAGATGACTTCTCCGCTTGCTTGTAAATTCTCTGAATCCCAAACTAAAGCATGTTGGAATTTTCTGATGCATCATTTTCACCTAGACAATCTTTTAAGTCTAAATTATTCAGTGGAAGGTTCAGACATTTTAGTTAACATGGAGTTCCTTATTTTGCTTCCTACTTCCTGTATCTCATTCAGCAAGGGATCCTGCTATTGCTCCTTTTGCTGGCAGTCTTTATATCAAAGTCAGTGGGATTTACTCATAAAGAATGGCAGTGATACAACTCCAGGAGGGATTAATTTTTTACATCAGATCTGCCATCTTTAAATAAGTTTGTATCATATCTGCCAACTCTCTAAAAGAAAAAAATAGAGCAAATTTTTCTGAAATTCATTTGAAATATTTTCAAATTCATTAATTAAATATCCACTAGGAGACAGATCCTGTATTGCTTGGAGACCAAAAACTTCCTGTTATTGACATGACAGCTTTACACCTACAATACCCATTTGTCTTGTAGGAGCATAAGAAATGCCATACAAGATTAGATCAGTGGTTCATCCTGTCTCACAGAATGACAGTTACCTAGTGCTTAGGCAGAAGGTGAAGGGCCTTGTAATTTAGTTTTGTGCCATAGTAGTCGATTTCTGTGAGAGACTGCATATTTATTTTTGTTAGCACCCCAGCCATTTCATTCTTTAAGTCCTTCAGGATTCCTTGGAAACATGTCACCTGGGCCTGGTGACTTTGTAATTTACCTACTTATTTCACCATCTTCCCTTTAATCCCTCCTCTTTATTACCTGATAAAAGTAAGCATCACTGCAGTGTTCTGTGCAGAGGCAAATGCTAAGACGTCACTACAGCAACATAGTAGCTACAAATAACGGTATGCTGCTGCACGGCACAGTAACAACTCTTACTGCACCATCATTGATGGCTAATGATGGTACAGTAACACCGGCACCGTAGAGACATGTGTAGATGCACCCAGTAACTTACAAAATTGTGCCCAGTATCAATGGAAAACACTACAGGAAAAATTATCTCATTTGCAACAGAGCAAAAGGTAATTTTCCTTGCAGGTTACGAATGCCCTAGCCATGCAGTAGCATTCTGACGGTATGTCCACACTACCTCAGTACTGTCTCAGGGAGCACTGGAGTGACTGACGTCCTGCATGCTACCTCCCAAGCCTGAAGCAACGCAACAACTTTAGTGTGAGAAACTGGCAGCTACTTGCTGGCACAGACATACCGTTATAGTTCTCAGTTACACTGGCATGAATCCAGAATCAATTTTTGTCTGTGTTAGGCATCTGAGCTGGCTACAGCCATTATTAGCCAGGCAATATTATGGCTGCATCAGTGCAAATTTCTCGTGCAGGTTAAACCAGTTTTCTCTCCCAGGATCATTTATGGCTTCACATGTTAGTACAGGTTAAATGAAGAGATCTTCGTGTGTGGTGGCCTAATCCTAGATCCATAAACGAGCTTTTTTTCTTTTTCAACTTGCAAATGTTTATATGTTAAAAGCTGCAGCTGTAGCACCTTTTTTTTTTTTAATTTTGTCCTCCTACTTTATGTTCTGTATTTTTGGTTTAGAAAGATGGCAGTGAATCATCCCTAAATGTTGTTGTTCTCCTACAAAATGACAAACTGACTACCTGTTGTGGTCTAATAGACTGCAACAATTAGAAGTTGGTGGATAATAATGCCCCAGATCATCTCTGTTTATTAATCTTTTGGGGTAGGAATGTGTATTTGAGCACATCCAGTAGCAGGGCATTATGTTCATTAGTCTAGATCCTCAGGTTCAATATTGTCATCAATGGAATTACAACAGTTTATGCCACCTAAGGATCTAGCTCAATAAAACTAAATTTTAAGCTTTTGAACTCTTCCCTTATTTTATCATCTTCATCCTCCCTTTCTTATACACGAGTTGTTAGTACACACACAAGATCTGCGCTTCTAAAATCACGTCTCTTCCTTTTATTTTTCCATGTAGTGAAGTAGAAGCATTCTGTGGCAATTATTATATTGAAAATGAACCAAACCATACATCTTCCACAAAGCCTGTGGAACTTTAAAATCTGAACCTGGTTCTGTAATTACAGCTCATCCCAAACTCTACAGATCTGAACCTAAGACCTATCTTTCAATCTTCCAAACACTAGGAAGTGTAAATTCAGACCTGGACTTCATGCATGGCACCTCTCTCCAGTAATTATGTTTCCTGGGAGTATTAACACCGTCAGAAGATAATGTGCTTTGTATTTATTAGTTTTCTGTCAAACCACCTCCAAGTAAGAAAAATCATGTCAGACAAGCAGTTCTCCAAAAGGAAACAGAATGTGTATTGGACAGCCAAAAGGCTATGATGCATCCTTTCCTGAGTCCCTAACTACTGAAGTGGGTTGGTAGGAAGAATTGCTGAAGTTTGTGTGTAAATATTCTGTTCTTCTACAGAATCTCCAAAATAGGGAGAGTTATGCCACACATTTTTAATTATTCAGTAATTTAGTTTGTTTATACCAATTTTTGCAATGAATGATAATCCTCTCTCATGAATGGGACAAGCTAATTAGAAAACAATTATATTTGTGGAGGATTCTAAAATTTGAAATTTATACAAGATATAAACTAGTTATATGAGCTAAAAAGTAAACAAAGATATTATATGTCTTAGATTTATTATACAGATTAATACAAAAGAAAAGATGATACAGCTTAATGCAATGCTACATTTAGCCTCTACATGTGATTCTTCTTTTTCACAAGTTTTAAATCTGTGCAGCTTCATGGATGTTATTGGATTTATTCCTGGTTTTTACTCACATAAGTGAGAAGATCATTGGATACAGAGTTTTTTAAGCTTGAGTGATTTTTTTTTTTTTTTTTTTTTTTTTTAGATAATTTCTAAAGAGCACAATTAATGTTTTCAGTCCCCAGCCATATAAACCAGAACTAAAAAGCAAATATTTGATTGCCATGTAAACAGGAGTTATCCTAAATTAAACTTAAAAGTAGAACATCTCCCTTGTCACTGTGCCCAGCAGTGACATTTATATGATAAGAATTTATCATATTCAATCATCTTTATAAAGAAACTAGAATTAAGTATTGTGGAAAATAACCTTTAAAATGATTCATAAGAGTGAAAGCAGCATTGTGACTCAGAGTAGATTTAGAACCACTAAATAAACTGGTCTTGGATTTTACTCTTGAATGGGTTCTCTCTACCTTTAGTGCTCTTTAAAAACAGGTATGTAGTGAAAGCCTTGAAGTCAGTAGCAAAGGACAAATTTATTTCAGTGGAATCAAGATTTCATTCTTGCATGTTATGTGCCTGAGCAAAGGGTAGAGTTACTCCTATTAGTGAGATATGTTTTTCTAACTACATCTTCTTTCACTGTTTACCATTTGATGGAAATATCAGTAATTGGGGAAGTTTTATGGGATCTCAATAGACTGAGAGTTTTGAGATTTATTTAGATCATTTTCTAGGGTGAGCGTCCTTTCAAGCACTTGAAACAAAATAAAAGCTTTTGTCTCACATCAGAGTTGGTTTTGAAAAAAATAAAATTATTGTAAGGTAATATGACTATTCCTCAATGTCAGACTTGGATTCAAAAGATGTCTCGTTTTTTATCATCACATTTTCCATTTGAATAGAAATGTACAGGAAAATTAACTGTTTACAGCAGAGTTGTTATCTAAGTATCTGAATATATACATTTCCAGTTAGATACTTCATTTATTTAATCTGGGGTTTTTTCAATTAGGTGTTTAGCTATAAAATTAATGTGTAATATACAACAATAAAAATGTACAGAGATACCTTTAGATGTAACAATTTAAACCATTCATATTCAGAAAGCTAAGATAACACATTTAAATATATACAAACTATTGCCATTTTGGTTTCAGCTGAATTTCTGCCTGTGCATAACACTGACTCTCCTTTTAAAGATAATAAATAACCAGCAGTATCATTCTGTGGAATTTTAGCTCCATTCAATGCCTGGTATTTCAAGTGGCATGACTGTAGAAAA